GGCCCAGGCAGACGCTCGCCCACAACGGCCGCAGGCCCCCCCAACCCACGGAGAGCGGCTCCCTCCCACGCTGCAAGAGCCCGGGGTCGTGCACTGCTGCCTGCCTTGATAAATACGTCGGGCAACAACAAGGATATTGCACCCGAGGAGGACTGGTAACGCCAAACAGAGCTGTTCGCGTAGCTATGGAGACGCCGCTGTTAATATTAACTAACAGAAGTTAATGTTTAACACTAATGTTTTAATTAAAACTGTGAAGTTTGAGACATTTGTATCAAATCTCATGGTGAGACAAGGTACTACAGAGCAGCACATAAAAATAAAGTGCACTTAATGAGTTTTTAGCTACTTTATCATTTTTTCTCAGCTGTATTTATTGTCACATGGCTCACATGGTTTTTAAAGTAATATACTCTCAAATCAGATGCTAATGAGCCTAAGTGCTACCCCAGCTATTTTTTTTCAAACAAGACATGAGCAAGCATGGCTCATTATCTGTTTTCTCTTACTGCCCGCTCTGTACTAACCCTATACATGACCATGACCGCTCACAAGCACGGACAGTGGAACTCACTTGTATTTGCAGTCTGTTCACTGCAAATGCCCACAAGTGCTGTACGGAAGGTGTAACATGCACAAACACAGGAGTCGTGCGGTCTGACAGACCCCAGGTCTCACATGAGCAAAACAGCATCCCAGAGACAGCTTAAGTCGCTGTCCAGGGTTTTCAAGGCACCAATCCAGAACCCTGGCTCCACATGTACATGCTTTTAAGATGGCAAGTGTTATTTTAAATCAGTTTAAGATATTAAAATGCATGGTACGAAAGACAGGAGTTCTTCTGAACACCACATCATTGAACAAGTTCTTCATACCTTGCAGGAACGCATTTGAACAAAAGCAAAGTTGTGCGGAAAAGAGGATTTTATTTAAAACTAGCATGATGGTAGCATATGTCACACTGACATGAAAAAGCCTAAGGTACTGTAGCATCTGTATCACTGTATCATTGTAGCATCCTTTAACTAACTCTATAAAAGATCCACGTGCTCCATAAAAGATCAGAACCTAGACATACTTCAAGCTTGTAGGAAACACTCTTGTCAGATACTCAAAACACAGGAAAAGGGAAACTGTGGATACAGTATTTCAGGAGACAGCTGAAGCCCTCTCTAAAATAAATCTCCAAATGCAACTCTAGATCATATCATCCCTGATGAATTTGCTATTTATTAGAAAGCATTAAAAAAAAAAGGAGTTAGAAAGAAAGAAATAGATACTACACTTACTTTCAGCTCCTAGAGACCCACCTTTTAATACTTAGTCATTATGGCAAGTAACAGTCTGCTTTTATTGACAGGCATAAACAAACATGCATATACACTATTTTGGAAAACCACCTGCTTTTAGTTTGTTCCATCCTAAGAGTACTAAAAATCTTCAGCTAAAATGCAGCAGTTAAGCAGAAAACTCACTTATTTGGTCATATTCAATCCAAAAAAAAGGTAAAGACAAAACATATTTTAGAAAGATCAAATTTACACTTTATATTACAGATCATGAGCAATGCAAAAAGGAGCCACTTTGTGAGTTTATTGACAAAGATGCGACCTGAAAACATATTCTGAAAACAAGCTGGGAGAAAGTCTATGAGAATTCATCACTGTTTCGAGCAGAGATTTATCAAGGTATCTACTATGACTTTCATGACTGAAGACTCAACAACTTACTTGCATTTTAAACTTTCAGGCCGTACTTGTATCTGACTAGGAGCTTCCTGACAAAGTTTCCACCGTTTTTAAAGCAGTAGAACAATTTTCTGAGTTATATTGTCACTGTAAATTGACAATTGTAATCGGCTGTTTAAATTGCTAACACGTCTCCACCACACTGAATGTGAAAATGCTGCTGACGATTTGCTGATTTTCCAGACAGAAGTGGGTGGAAATTCCATTCAGGCTTCAAAATTTAACAGTGCAGAAAATGTTCTATTGTAATTACACAACTTCAAAAAATAAAAATCATTTAACTAAATTATCTGGGAGGAACATGTTGCTGTTCCGATTCCTGATGACTCCTGAAATAAAAAAGAAAGATGGAAAAAAATGTATTGCTTGGAGATGAAGAAAAATCTGTGTAAGGTTTGACTCCTGGAGAAAGATGAAAGTCATGGCAGAACCAGAAAGAGCAGCCCTGCACAGAGAGTTTTTTTTTTTAGGTTCAGGCAGATTTCAGTTAGAAAGCAATGAAAGAGAGACTGCACCTTGAAGCCAAGGCAACCTGAGCAGGAGATGTGAACATATGGCAGCAGCGCTCCTGACGGAGGGAGGGCGAGCCGGGAACAAAACAGACATTTGCTCCTTATGCAAATGTCCTCGCCTTTCCGGGGAGCTGCCGATCTGCAAGAATCCTGCCACTGCTGCAGATTGAGATATTTAGAGATAAAACCTTTCCAGAGGGGTGAAGCAAGGCAGGGTTTTTTGGTAAATATACATTTTTAGTTGTTAAATATACATTTTTAGTTGGAAAATACAAACATAAATTGTAAGCAAACAATATAACCACACACCATTAATACATGTTATTTTACATTCTCTAATATCTGCTAATAAGTACAGTATAAATCACTATTGAAAATGTTGCTTCTTTACATTACAGATTTGCAAAATTTGATTCTGTAATCTTGCTTATATTAACAATTCAGCTGGAGTTTTAATAGTCTGTTACAATAGGGATTGTTTTTCTTCTGTAGTAAACACACTCCTCTATTACAGTCTGCAGCAAGAGACATATCAGACTGCTTTGTTTTTTGTTTTTAAAAAATCACTAATGCACCATATTCTGTGTCTTTCCAAAATTGGTGGTATCATGTTACAGTGAAGAGTTAAGGGGTTTTTTTCCTAAAAAGGAAAAAAAAACTTTCTTAAGTTTGATACTTCTAAAAGAGGGAACTACTGTGAAATTTTTTTTCCTAAAAAGGAAAAAAAAAACTTTCTTAAGTTTGATACAACTTCTAAAAGAGGGAACTACTGTGAAACTACCATTAACCTAGGCAAATACAGAAAAATATTTTTTAAATAATGTATTGCCCCTCATCACTAGCTAGTATCAATATATTTGATACCAAGTTATACTTTTTTCCCTGCCATGATTCTAACATGGAAGGAAAATTAATTAGCAAAGATAATGTGTTTTAGGGAACAGAAATATGCAAGCTTGTCCTCCAAAGATATCATACACAAAGAGTACACACGAAAACACTGTTGCCTTCTCTTTGCTGTTAGTGTTCATCACGCTGAATCTAAGAGGTTTATATGCCCAAATAATCCACCACCTCTCTGATGTCCTTACACCAGCGTGTTTCAGCGTACGCTCACTACATGGGTCTCACAACCTGCTTTTAACACCCAAAGAAGAGCTTGAGATTGCCTGCAAAATCTTGACCACGCAAACACTGAAGCTACAAACAGTAGTTGATGAAAATTAAACTCTGTTACTGTTGTTTTAACAAGATATCAAGCCTGTAACAACTGCTACTTAGAAGTACCAATTCCTTCTCCTCTTCCCCAAGGCTGCTTCCCACTAAAGACACTTTTCCAGGAGAACCACAAAGAATTCCCGGAACAGGTTCTTCCCGTGAAGGATGGCCCCGGCCTCCCAGCTGCAACAGTTCTGCACACGCAGGACCTTGCTGCTAGAACCTGCCTACAGCAAAAGCAATTAGCAGAGTGATTACGTTGTAGTGATAATGTGAAAAAAATCTTACCATCTCCAGACGGCCTAGGGAACAACTGACCAAAGTAACTTTGCAGTAACCAGGGTCCCTCATAAGCACACTTGCCACAGAGATGCCATGGCTTGAGATCCAATTCTTTGTACCAAGAGCACTTGGAGGCTGCTGTACTTCCCTGCGTTTCCCACGTCCTCGCCCTCAGAAGTGTGCATCACCTACCCTCATTCCTCTCTCAGGAGGGAATTTTAAAAGACTTGGCATAACAGAAGTGAGGAAAACATTTGTAAGCAGATTTTAGGAAACAACAGTTCCAGTTCTTTTTTCCCCTCACTGACTGTGATTATCATCTGCTTTTCCCCTCTTTAATCACCTTTGACGCAGAGTCCACCGCAGGTGCCTGAGGCAGGTGCCTGCTTGCTTAGTTAAGAGAGACCCTCAGAGCCCTACCGAGCCCCAGGACCCTTTTCACCTCTGAACTCCTGCAGAGGAAAGCTGTTATATCTGACTAGCCTCCTAAAGAATCAGCGTGGCTGTCAACTGGGAGCTCCTGAACAGCCCCAACTGAAGAGACCCAAAGACTAACTGCAGTATCATTAAATGTACAGTAATTCTGAGTAGAGAGATCAATATACTCTAAGGAACAGATTTCTCCTAAGTCTCTCCAATTGGGGTATATTAACCTTTTTTTTTTTTTACAGTGTTTGAGCAATTCTAAGACATAGCACAGCTTTTAAATTTTACAAATGCACACATCAATTTACTATTACCACTCTCTTAAATTTTATAGTTTACGTATAAATCTTTAGTACTAAAGAAAGAATCCTGCTCAGCCATAACATTAACATCTTCAGTATCGTATTTTCTCTGTTTTGTTTTTTTTTCCAGGCAAAGTGTTTTTCTAAGCCTCATTCAACCCTATGTATCACCAGTAGAAACAAGTCTGAAATCATAATAATTAAATCAACACCAGCCGAGTACTTACCATTCAAAATTTCCTTCAGACATTTAAACCATGCATGGCAGTGATCTTCACTGAAGTTATGCAAATGGATAGCACAGTCCGTCAGCTTATTTTCTTCTTTATACAAGCATTTAAAAATTGTGATACCCAGCAAAGTGCCGCCTTTTTTCTGTCCAGCAAAACGACGACGTTTCAGTTTTACTGCAAACATATCTTTCATTTCAATAATTTCCTCTTTAACCTGTACACCTGTGACAGAATCACCTGTGGAGAGGAAAAAAATGAAACTGTTATTAACATGATTAGGAGTAACATTGTAGAAAAATTGTAACTTTAATGTCTTCCTCTGTAGCTTCACTTATTGCATCTACTCATTTATGTTGCAGTTTTTTGAACATCACTGGCTTTGTGTTTTGGAGAAGATTTTGGGGTTTGTTTTAAGACCTTGGGGCGCTCATGCACAAACACGCCCTGTGGCTGCCATTGCTGTCACCCTAATGACACTGGCCCTGTGTGCCTTTGGAGAGGTTCTGCTTGAACATCTCTGGTAGAGGCTGCTCCTTTCCTACCCCTTAAGCTGCAAGACACTTGGTTCCTCTAAAGCCAAGCAAGCCGCACACCACAGCAAAGGACACAAGTCCTTATTTCTGTATGTACTAGATGGTCTTCTTGCAGCAAGGGAAAAACTCCCCTGCCTTCTTCCAGCTCCAGCAGCTCCAACAGGTTAGACCATAAAGAATGGTCTCCCTGCAGCCCAAAGCAAGAAAAGGTAAAGGTAAAGGCAAAAATTCAAAACATATATAATGAAAATACAGATGCAATAGGATCTGCAGCACTTTTTCACAAATATATGTTACCTGTCTTGGCTTTTTATGTATTTTAAAATAGACTTTCTTTTGGATTAATCTATTGGCTTTGCTGTGTACATCACAAATTATCTTATGCTACAGTAATACATGAGATTATATTACAAACACCAGCCATTTTGTTCTGGGTAAATCAAGTCAAATGAAGGACTTAAAATATTCTGTAGCTCCTTCCCAACTAGTTTCCATAAAGTGACATTTAATCAGAAGTCAGGTAAGGTTTGTCTTTTCTTTAATGCCATGATTTTACTTGCTTTTAAACCTAGGTCTTACTCTGTATTTGTCAAATTCTTGTATTGCTCACATGCACATCAACATTTTTGCAAATTAAAACAAACATGTTCTAGTAAGTGTTATTCTTTCAAATCAGCAACTGGCTCTTATCACTCTACTGGAGTAGTGTTTTCAGATGCACCTTTGAGAAAGCCTATGAATTGTTGGGATACTGAATCATACAAAAGCATCATCCTCAAGTTTTAAATTGTACAGAAAACACTGAAGTGGCTAGTAGATCAGGACAGCCAATTCTTGCTTGAGCTAAACACAGCATCTCGAGCATTTTTATCTCTTATTGTTACTAAGAAAGATCATCACAAATGCAATAAAATGCCATAACAAATAAAAATTCACATGAAGAAATGAAGTACTTTGCTATATCTATAAAATTTGATACAAAATAACCAATTTCCTTTAAAGTAAGATATATGGTGGATTAGACACTTTTTAAAACTTAAAAAAAAAAAAAACTACTGGCTCATGAGTATCATATTGGTTATTGCTAGCTGTTTCAGGACATTAACTGTCCTCTCACATTACTTAGAAAGATACGAGGTACCATCTGTTCTTGCAAGAGATTTAGGTATACATCTATTAGATATCATGCTATTTATTTAATTCAGTACCCACGTCCCATTGTTGTATCTTTTGAAAAAAAAAAAGTCAATTTAATTACGAGGAATAAAGATAATCTCTTCTGCCAGGCTGCCCTGTCATCATGAGAGCAGAGCGGGAACCTGCATAAAGTAGGTTACAGGCGTTAGCAAGAGTAAAACTCACAGCACTTAACATTTAACAAAGATCTAACAAAAACAGAATATATAGCACTTAAAAAAAAATACTACAAGCCAAGGGCTTGTCTAAATCAATCTCGGCACATCTGTCTGATGCAGAGCGTAAACAGGATTAGAGCTGGATTTATCTGCTTGACGCTAATTGTACTCACAGTTTCTGCACATGTCCACTTTTTTCCAAATATAGCATGAAAAATAAGCCTGCCTGATACATGAATTTCTAACAAGTTTTATGCATCTATTTATCCTATCACTGATTTCAACTAATGAGACTATCCTACTTTTTCTTTCCTGGCTATTTAGGGTGGTCAAATCTCTTATTTAATAAAAAAAAAGCATTCTATCTAAATATACCACACACTGAGCTGAATCAAAAGCACTCAAATTCAGCTTAATTTAAATAGAAAACTAAATTTTAATTGCCTAAACTAGATTTTAAACAGATTATCTCATGTTTGCAGCAAAATCAAAACATACACAAAGGAAGAAGCTGTACTACTGAAATTCAAAACAATTTGCAAAGAGAAATTAATTTTTATAATATAGAGACCAGAATTTCAACAATAGAAAACATTTACTGTACAGTTTTCCTACAACAGACGCCTAACAGTTAAACATGATATTTAACAGCTTAGCTCCTATAACAAATATCTGAAGTATTTGGAAAAATGTGGGAGGAAACAAAAGGAAGAGTTGGCTATTTAGTTGAAGCACGAGATTTGGGGGTTGATAAATGGGCTATGCTCCCTTGGTCACAAATACTTCTTAAGATCTTTGGCAAGACATCCAACCACACTTAAATTTATCTATGAAATGTAGCTATTACATATGTTGTCCCATAGGACTCTCTTAAAAGTTTTATGCCCTTCATAATTCCACATTATATCTGACTGCCGTGTAACATAAGAGAAATAACTGTAAAATGAAAACCATCATGATGGTACCTAAGAAAATAAAGTGAAGAACAATATCTGCCAATCTTAAGCAATGGACTTGAATGGATTTTAAGTAGATACATCTAAAATTGCAGCCTGAACACCATCCCCTCAGCAGCCAAGGACACCTACATTATAAGAAAGGACTCTTAGAAGATAGGTCTCATCTGCCTTCTTATTCCATAATTGCCACAAACTACCCAGTTAGACCTCTGTCCTGTCTAGTTGGGACAAGTAGGTTGCTTCTTCCTACATTTTATTCTCCTCTCTGAACTCTCTCCGTGTTCCTGCTTACTCTTTCCTGCCCAAACCACTTGATTCCAATCTCTGTTCCACCAGCTCTTTCAAAACTTCTCCTTCCTTCCCAACTCCTACATCAAACCTAGGAGGTTGTTGTGTACATGTGCCTGCCCAGTGACCCTCATCCCTACAGCAACTGACGGGAGTGTTTCCACCTAGTCCTTGAAGTCCTGCCTTGGTGCATCCTCAGGGTTTTAACACATGGGCAATAAAATGGCAATAAACTAACTCCTGACAAAAAAAAAAAAAAAAAACTGCCAAACTGCTTAGATCTGGCAGAAATGGAAAGAAACATGAGACTAAATCAAGTGACTGCTCAGGCAAAACATCTGCTTCAGCCACAAATACAGAGTTACAAATCATCCATACTACTAAATATCCTCTTCGGGGACCTCAAAATGCCACATCCAAATGTTGGCCTTCAAAGGCTTTCAAACCAACCTTCTCTGCAGGGAAAAAAAAATAGACATTTCCCATGCTAAATGCAGCACAACTTCATTCCTGAAGCTACTGGATGGTAGCAGTCCACACTTTTGCGTATCCAAAAGGAAGCACAGCTAACAACTGCTAGACAGGCTCATCTAAGCACTTCTCATTGATTAACGGTATATATTTGGTTTTATCCCCATTGATCTTTAGCTTTTTTTTTTCTAGGAGCTTTCTTCCTATCCTCAGCCATCCTTGGCATCCTGCTGCTTTTTCTACAGCAGGAGATGGCAACAGTGCCCTCAAAATCATCTGACGAGTCCCAGGCCTCCCGCAGCACAGTGGCCCCATAGGAGCACTGCACCATCTTGCCTGCAAGGATGAGACACCCGTTTTTTTCATCTACACCACGTCTTTAGGAGACTCAAAACAAAAAAAAACAACAAAAATAAAAACTAGATTTTTGTTATGTGATCTTTACAATACGTACTTTTTTTGCATTTACTCTTACAAACGCTGTTCATATTTTCAGTATGAACCTTTTTCAAAACTTCTCAATAAGGTTTGAAAAATATTTCTGGTATATTGATATTTTTATACCTCACAATAGATATGTAGCACAAATAAATAATTACAAGTTACATAGAACACAACACAAAAATTAAGGTACACTTAGTTTTGACTGGCATACAATGCAGCATTTATACAAACAGAAGGCTTACGAAATGCAAGCACTTCAGGAGCTTTCCATTACTATGATAAACAATTAGACTGCATTTACAGTGATTCATAATCCTGCAACTGAGAAAATTACAGCCTCAGACTTTCACCAATTTTAAAATTTTGTTTGTAGCTTATCCCTATGACAAAGGTTTTACACAGAATTTGATACCAATGTGATGTGACACAACTGAACCAAACCTTAATTTCACTCACAGTAAGAAATCACAGGATTAAGTAACACTGTGCAGTCTTTTAGAAAAGTTTATTGCTTCCAGATGGATGCAAGTTTCCTTTCAGCACTGATTGTATCTTCTGTACACAGGGTGCCAATGTTACTATAAATACAGATAAAATGTGGTTATAAAGATAATTTTTTAAATTATTAACATAAACAGGCTTGCACTAAACCACCTCTCTCCACAAAAGGAGGACAACTGCACGAGAGTGATGTGGAGTATCACAAATGTTCAATATAAAAACATGTGCCCCTTTTAAAAAAATCACAGTGCACATAGGAACAAGCACAAATTCACAAGGTCCCCACAAAACGGCTGGTAACTGCAGCCCGTGCTCTTTGCCCCACGGCGTGCCGTGCCACGCGCTGCCCGGCACGGCGCTTCCCAGGCCGCAAAAGCACCCTGCAAACCGGGAAGGCCTCTCTGCTAACTTAAAGCTAAATGCTCGTGCATACAGTGCTGCCCAGCCAACACCAACAGCTGTTTTAATGGAAAGGATTGCTTTGAGGTATACCCAGTTAGGTGATTTTCCTTAAGAAAGAATTATAATGCTATTTCGCAAATTAAACTACACAAGAATAATTGGGGAAAGAAGGTCCTTTGAGTTGGTTCAATATTTTATGCTTTTATACAGTTTAGGGTAATAATAATAGATAATGAGCAAATTAAGGGCACATTTTTGAACTTATCACAAAACTTGCACAAAAA